TTGTAATAAGCGAACTTAAGAACATCAAAATACCAAATTTCATGAAAACTCAGTAATTTGTTTAATTCTTGGGCACCATATTGGATTCGTTATTTTCGGTTTTTGAAAATTTACTTCAGGTTTGTCAAGACACATCTTATAAATAATATGATGCTAAATATAGAAAAATTACATTAAGCCGTAGTGTTTTATATACTTTATGCTATTTGGAACAACTGCTAAAGATGGTTTAGTTCAATAAAAGTGGTCCCCACTCTTTTTGGCGCGAGTATGCGCGACTTTTCTTTTCAAAGATCCTTAACGGACCCCTTGCATTACTTTTAGGTAAAGGAATGAAGATCCTACTCGGCCCTACAAATTAGTTATACCTTTTTGAAAAAAATATTCCTTGAACAATAATTCGTGTTATTAAGATATTCATAATTTGGCAACAAAATTTTATTATGTAATATTTCATATGAAATCATCATTTTCCATCTTTAAGAAGTAGCACTAAACCAGCAATTACTGTTATAATTTCAATTTTCCATAAAAAACCTGTTAATAAGGCTATCAACTCATAACTGTTATAACAAGCCGCGATCGAATTCGTTGAATTAAATGGATTCAACGGCTTGCTCAGCACATATTATTAAAAATACTAACCAGATTTGAGTTCGCTGGACATTTCTGCATAAGAATGGCTTTACTCCAGTTAATTTATCACAGTTTAAAAATAGGCCTTTTTCGCGTAAAACGTGCCTTATCCGACCACTGAAGCGTAACGGTTTTTCAACGCGAGAACACGCAACATATAATTGCCCATGTGAGAAGCAAGAATTTTCCAGATCCAACCCACAAATGGATAAAGTTTGGTCTTGTGACTTATTAATAGTTATTGCAAAAGCCAGGCGAATTTGGAATGCAAGAGTCCGAATGGAAGGTGAGTCTAAAAGAATCATTTGGATCCGTGCTATAAGAGCAGCTTCACCGTGAAACTTGCCGTTCAAAATTGTAGTTTCAAGAACATTTCCCATGATTTTTTATGACCAATCGCGTACCACTGCATAACTTAGCAGCATTTAAATTCCGTAGCAGTATAATTGGTGAACCGAGTTTTAATCGCATGTTATGTGCGGACATTCCCGGTAAATCCAGTGAATTTAAAATTCAACAGGATAGGATGACGCAGCAAGATCGACCACGGTGTCGATGGATTTGAACGACACCTCATTTACTGCCAATGACTGTTGTATTTTAAAATTAGTAGCATCAACATCGACATTTTTTGCTTTTAATCAAAACTTTTATTGTTGCC